GCGTCCCAAATGGCACCCCATTCCCTTTATAGTGCACTCCTTTTGACCAGGGCCCTGTAGTTCACTATATAGGGAATAGGGTGCTATTTGGGACGTAGCCAGAGACACATAGACAAAGAGGAGCCTCAGCAGCAGGCTCAGATTCTTTCATCACTGTGATCCTCACATCTGCTGGCCTGGCTTTACCCACAATGCTTTAGGATGCACAATGCCTCTAGATGGGGAGCACAAAGGCTGGCTGAGCAATCAGACACACAGAAACACACAGACAGACATATCTAGCACAGCATATCTTTGTAGTGTGCATGTCACCAAAATATCTGCTACAGCACACTGTTACACTATGTGCTGCTTGTACGTTTGTGTCACTGCGTGTGCAACTGTGTGTGTGTGTCATTATGTGAGCATCCAAGTGTGTGTGTGTGTTTGTGTGTGTGCACATGCGTGTGTGTGTGTGTGTGGGTTGGTTCTTCTATCCTTGTAGGGACCTAAAATCCTCAAAAGTCCCCACAAGGATAGTAAAACAAGGACAATTCTCCATCGTGGGGACATTTCCCACGTCCCCATGAGGACACAGGCTATTTTAAGCTTGGAGGTTAGGTTAAGGGTTAGGGTTACTGTCACGACTGTCTGTGAGATGCGGTAAACGAAGTCAGGCGCAGGACACAGAACTCTCGGATACGTACTTTTAATACGAAAAGGATCCAAAAGGACACAGAAAATAACTCCACGCAGGGAGGAAATAACCCGCTCACAAAATAGACAACCGTGAAGGGGAAAACAATCACACACAAAGTACAGATGAGAGACAGGGGTAATTATAAGGGAAACAATTAACATAATGACGAACAGGTGTAAACAATACAGACAAAACTAAACAAACACCGATAACATCGAACGGCAGTAGCTAGTACTCCGGGGACGACGAACGCCGAAGCCTGCCCGAGCAAGGAGGAGGAGCAGCCTCGGCAGAATCCGTGACAGTTACAATTAGGGTTAGAGTTAGAATTAGGTTTAGGGTAAGGGGTTAGTGGTTAGGTTTAGGGTTAGGAGTTAGGTTTAGGGTTCTGATTACGGGTTAAGGTTAGGGTTAAGGTTAGGTTTAGGGTCAGGGGTTAGGGTAAATAGGATCTTGTATGGACATTTATTTTAGGTCCCCACAAGGATAGAAGAACATAACATGCGAGTCTGTGTGTGTGTACATGGACTTAGGAAAAGCAGTGTTTTTAAACCAGTACCCCTCACTTCCCTGATTGAGACGATGACAGAAAAAACCTAAATGCGAAAAAATAAAAACGTTTTATCTCTCTAAGCACCTATCCCTCTGCACCAGCTGTCTGTGGCTAGCGTAGACAATTAAAGACTGCTTCATTAAAAACAGCTATCATGGGATAATGAGGGAGCATGGTCCTTAAACAAAGACCATACATAGGAAGAAGAAGTCAGAGAGTAAACAAAGAGAGAGTTTGTGTTTGTGTGAAAGAAGGAGAAAAAGAGAGAGAAAGCATGTGTATGTGCTTGTGTGTGTAAGAGACAGAGAAAGAGAGGAAGGAAAAAGGAGAGATGGAGAGTGAGCGATTGAGCAGTAAAGAAAATGGGCCTAGAGGGAGGCTGGTGGTGTTGTGGTCCTCCATTCTAGCCCGTGGTCCTAGCAGGGATGTAATAGGACCATTAAATAGCAGGGTATGAGCCATTAGTTTGTCTGGTCAGACTGTTGGCAGGGCCTGACAGCACACAGAGAAGATGGAGGGAGGAGGGGAGATTAATCAGGTGGAGGAGGAGAGGGAAGGAGATATGGACAACAGGGAGGGAGGAGGGGAGATTAATCAGGTGGAGGAGGAGAGGGAAGGAGATATGGACAACAGGGAGGGAGGAGGGGAGATTAATCAGGTGGAGGAGGAGAGGGAGGGAGATATGGACAACAGGGAGGGAGGAGGGGAGATTAATCAGGTGGAGGAGGAGAGGGAAGGAGATATGGACAACAGGGAGGGAGGAGGGGAGATTAATCAGGTGGAGGAGGAGAGGGAGGGAGATATGGACAACAGGGAGGGAGGAGGGGAGCGAGGGAGGACAGGAATAAGGCCTTAAGGGCAGTCTGAAGGACGACCTTATAAGGTGTAGGATGTCAGTGTCCAATGACATAACATGTGTGTGTGTGTGTGTGTGTGTGTGTGTGTATGTGTGTGTGTGTGTGTGTGTGTGTATGCAATCCTGTAACGATGCTTATGCACCTGGATAGAACACATTTACCCTCCACATCACAGCAGTGTCCTCTCTCTCCTCTCTCTACCCCTGACCTAGTAATACCCTTCATCCTGCATGGCCTCGCTTTAGATAGCTTACCTACATTTACATTTACATTTTAGTCATTTAGCAGACGCTCTTATCCAGAGCCACTTACAGTTAGTGAGTGCATACATTTTTCATACTACATACAACCACTCTACCTTACTCCAATCTGAATGCACACACACACACACCTAACCTTAACACACACACACAGTCACACACACAGTCACACACAGTCACACACACAGTCACACACACAGTCACACACACAGTCACACACACAGTCACACACACAGTCACACACACAGTCACACACCAGGGTTTCCATTAGGAAAATGTGGGGCGGACATTTGACCGGAAGCATTTTAATTTACCGGACATTTGAGAAATTTACCGGACCCATATGCATTGGGTGCGTAACCTGATTAGGGCATCCACCCACGTTGCTCAGAATGACAGAAATCACATTTTGATTATGGTAATTCATATTAACAGAACATGAATGTCGAGGATGCAATGATGTGCGGTCCTTCTTACAGAATTCTGATGTGCACTTTGAAGATGTTAGAATAACTGTCCATTTGTACATTTCCTCAGCCAACAAGATGAGTAACGAACAGCAAAATCACTAGCCTATGTCAATCCACTATAGGAGAAAAGTTTAGGCTACCTATTCTATTGGTCAGCTTGTCGAGAAAGAAATATTCCAAACTGACTCTGGGACAGTTGTGGGACGATATATCCCAAATCCATCCAACCAGCAGGCCTCGGCTACATTAAGGAAAAACTGTTCAAAAGCAATGAGTTTAATGGAACAGATCAGAACATTTATCTTAAAATGTTGATAAAATATTATTTCTTCACATTATAAGCTCAGCAATACGCACAAGGCAGTAGACTAGGTGTGAGTGTTCATTCTATAATGTAATTAGAGGAAAAACACTGTTGTCAAAAGGGCCCTGCACATGCGAGCAGTTTCATGTGACAGAGATAAAAATATCTGTTAGAAATGTAGAAAGAGGGAAGATCTGAAGATGCAACAACTAGCATGGGTTGCTAATATGACTAGGATTGTGCCTTTGGCTACTGGACAATGAAAGAAAGTTGATATAAAGGAATTGCCTCCACGGATATGGTCTGATTTTGGCTACTTTGAAGCAAGGTAAGACATGCCTCATAACATGTATTAAAACGTTCAGGTTTCAAACAATTAAGTATATGTTTTCAAAATACATACTGCCTCCAGCTCATTGCAAAGTGGTGTGTGACGCCCTGATGAAGCCTGCCTTCCGTTGCCTATGCATTTGCTGTTTGAGATGATGTAGCAGCAGCTCTTGCGCTGACGGACAGATTTTCTGCTCTGTATGCTGTACGCATGTGATAAATAAGATACATTACATGACCAAACGTATGTGGACACCTGCTCGTCGAACATCTCATTCCAAAATCATGGGCATTAATATGGAGTTGGTCCACCCTTTGCTGCTATAACAGCCGCCACTCTTCTGGGAAGGCTTTCCATTGTCTATGGAGATTGAATGGCTGTGTGCTCGATTTTATACACCTGTCAGCAACGGGTGTGGCTGAAATAGCCGAATCCACTAATTTGAAGGGCTGTCCACATACTTTTGTATATATAGTGTACATTGCGAATATACTTCACACGCGCCAATTTAATTCCACTAAATTATGCAAATGTACCTATAGACCGATTAGCATGACCAGTCAAATGTATTTCCATCGACTGGTATTTCCATAATTTAATAGGCTAAAAAGCATTATTTCGCAATGGGATTTTTTCTTCCTCTTCCTTGTCTATATTACCGGCTAACGGAAACCCTGTCTCACACACACACACACACACACACACACACACACACACACACACACACACACACACACACACACACACACCTAACCCTAACACACACACACCCTTCCTAACCTTGTGTTGATGTAAATCCTCAATGGTTCTATTCCTTTAAGAGACCCCCTCTATCCTTTACATCCTCCACTCCCCTCCTCCTCTCAGTGACCTCTCTTTATCTCCTTCCCCCCGCCTTCACTCATTCCCTCTCATCCCCCTCTCCTTCCCTCGCCCCACCATCTCCTCTCCGACTCTCTCACTGACCACAAACCAACACAGACCATTACCCAGAATGCCTGCGGTGGAGAGGGTTGTGTGTGTGTGTGTGTGTAGTGGGGGATGAAACATACCTCTTACAGGAAACAAATCTTAAGCCCCTCCTATAAGCGTCTTTTTACATTTTATTTTATTTATTAGGATCCCCATTAGGCGACGCCAATGCCGACAGCTAGATTTGGGGATCCTAATAAATCTAATAAAATCTAATCCTATAACCGCCCATCTCTCTCTGTCTCTCTTTCTTCTATCATTACAGTAACTCCTGCTTCTCTGTGATGATTATATTGTCTTTTAATGATTATCGTGTGGAGTCTAATGGCACACACTGCAACACTCTGCACCTGGAGATCTCTAACGAACATGCAGACAGTTCGGCCATTTTAACCTCTGCTCAGACAGAGTCTGACTGCAGTCTGAAGTACAAAGTCTTAACACTCCACTGCTTTGACTGTAGTGCCCGGTATTATACAGTATAGTCATCTCTCTACCCCTCCACCCCGTATGGGGACAGTGTATTATATCCTGTCCCTCTATAGCAGACTGGATTATAAGATCACATCCAGCATTACATTAGCACAAATATCTGGAGGAGGAGAAGGAGGGAGAGAGGGAAGAGGGGGAGAGGGAAGAGAAGGATGAAGATGAGGGGGATATAGAGGTGGAGGAGGAGGAGTACAGTGAGGGAAAAAAGTATTTGATCCCCTGCTGATTTTGTACGTTTGCCCACTGACAAAGACATGATCAGTCTATAATTTTAATGGTAGGTTTTTTTGAACAGTGAGAGACAGAATAACAACAAAAAAATCCAGAAAAACGCATGTCAAAAATTTTATAAATTGATTTGCATTTTAATGAGGGAAATAAGTATTTGACCCCTCTGCAAAACATGACTTAGTACTTGGTGGCAAAACCCTTGTTGGCAATCACAGAGGTCAGACGTTTCTTGTAGTTGGCCACCAGGTTTGCACACATCTCAGGAGGGATTTTGTCCCACTCCTCTTTGCAGATCTTCTCCAAGTCATTAAGGTTTCGAGGCTGACGTTTGGCAACTCGAACCTTCAGCTCCCTCCACAGATTTTCTATGGGATTAAGGTCTGGAGACTGGCTAGGCCACTCCAGGACCTTAATGTGCTTCTTCTTGAGCCACTCCTTTGTTGCCTTGGCCGTGTGTTTTGGGTCATTGTCATGCTGGAATACCCATCCACGACCTATTTTCAATGCCCTGGCTAAGGGAAGGAGGTTCTCACCCAAGATTTGACGGTACATGGCCCCATCCATCGTCCCTTTGATGTAGTGAAGTTGTCCTGTCCCCTTAGCAGAAAAACACCCCCAAAGCATAATGTTTCCACCTCCATGTTTGATGGTGGGGATGGTGTTCTTGTGGTCATAGGCAGCATTCCTCCTCCTCCAAACACGGCGAGTTGAGTTGATGCCAAAGAGCTCCATTTTGGTCTCATCTGACCACAACACTTTCACCCAGTTCTCCTCTGAATCATTCAGATGTTCATTGGCAAACTTCAGACGGGCATGTATATGTGCTTTCTTGAGCAGGGGGACCTTGCGGGCGCTGCAGGATTTCAGTCCTTCACGGCGTAGTGTGTTACCAATTGTTTTCTTGGTGACAATGTCCCAGCCTCCTTGAGATCATTGACAAGATCCTCCCGTGTAGTTCTGGGCTGATTCCTCACCGTTCTCATGATCATTGCAACTCCACGAGGTGAGATCTTGCATGGAGCCCCAGGCAGAGGGAGATTGACAGTTCTTTTGTGTTTCTTCCATTTGCGAATAATCGCACCAACTGTTGTCACCTTCTCACCAAGCTGCTTGGCGATGGTCTTGTAGCCCATTCCAGCCTTGTGTAGGTCTACAATCTTGTCCCTGACATCCTTGGAGAGCTCTTTGGTCTTGGCCATGGTGGAGAGTTTGGAATCTGATTGATTGATTGGTTCTGTGGACAGGTGTCTTTTATACAGGTAACAAGCTGAGATTAGGAGCACTCCCTTTAAGAGTGGGCTCCTAATCTCAGCTCGTTACCTGTATAAAAGACACCTGGGAGCCAGAAATCTTTCTGATTGAGAGGGGGTCAAATACTTATTTCCCTCATTAAAATGCAAATCAATTTATAACATTTTTGACATGCGTTTTTCTGGATTTTGTTGTTGTTATTCTGTCTCTCACTGTTCAAATAAACCTACCATTAAAATTATAGACTGATAATTTCTTTGTCAGTGGGCAAACGTACAAAATCAGCAGGGGATCAAATACTTTTTTCCCTCACTGTATGTGTGGAAGATGTTAGGGGACCTAAGTAGGTCACTAATACAGCTATAGCAAAAGTGAATACAAGAACAACTGCAAGAAGGCAACACCTCCATACACAGCACTGATACATGCCATGCTCAAATATTTAAATTAAGGGACCTTAAAGTCATGCTCCAGATCTTTGGCGACTACTAAGTATTAATTAAACCTCCAGCTTTGGGCTGGATGTGTCAATGTGTAGTTCATACATGCATAATCTATGAGCAGAAGCACTGTCTAGTTTGAAAGCGTCAGTTTTTCTGGAAGCTGTGCTGCGCCATTTCCCCTATATTTTCACCCACGTGGTCCAGCCCCCTAGCAATTCGAGTTCTAGCCAATGAGCTTCAGCCCCTCGCCATCTGAGTGACAGCTAGCAAGATGCACACACAGCAGAGCGAGAGTAATGACGTGGTGCACTTATGTGATGTAGTAACCCATTTTCGGGGACCACTTTTTGCTCGTGAGCGCTGCTTTCAGAACTACTGGCTAAAAAGTATACAAAGGCACCAGAGAATCTCTTTAAGTATTGATCTGTAAACTAATAAACATTATTGCCTCTTACTTCTAAGTTACAAACTCTACTACACCCTCTTCCTCCATAGCCTGGGTAACAGTCTGTCGTGCTACCCCGACACACACACACACACACACACACACACACATACAGATCTTCCATACAAACTCAGACAGAGTTTTACAGTCTTATTATCTAACACAGCGTACAGAGGACAGTCCAGTGTACTATATCTAGACATCTAGCACTCCAATCTGAGCTACAAACACCCCATTGGCCCACGGGAAATCGATGCCTCAACCACAGAAGCGTGGTATTGGCTTACTACTACACTTCTTCTCTCTTTCTCTCGCTGTCTCTCTCTCTCTCACGTTCTCTGTCCCTCTTGCTCTCTCTCTCTCTGTATCTCTCTCTCTCTCTTTGTATCTTTCTCTCTCTCTCTCTCTCTCTCTCTCCTCTCTCTCTCCTCTCTCTCTCCTCTCTCTATAACCTGTTTTACCGGACAGCCCTACCCAGGCCCTCCATAGACAGACAGACAGGCAGACTGGCAGGCAGACAGACAGGCAGACAGGCAGATAGACAGGCAGACAGACAGACAGGCAGGCAGACAGACAGACAGACAGACAGACAGACAGGCAGACAGACACAGACAGACAGACAGACAGACAGACAGACAGACAGACAGACAGACAGACAGACAGACAGGCAGACAGACAGACAGACATTATCCCTCTCCTTTTTATTATCCCACTATAACATAGCACATATATCTGGATATCTGGTTTCCCCACAAAGACAGGGCATTGTGTGAGGCAGGGCTAAGTGAATCAGTGGAGGCTGGTTAGAATGCCTATAATGGGGGCTTATTGCGCCTGCCGAGGAGGGGAGTGTAGCGGAACGGAGGGTTTGGTTAGTACTGTGTGGACTGTGGAGCTGCTGGGATGAAAAATGACACTGTCTCACTGTGGCCTGTTCATCTAATAAGGTCATTAAGACTGGATGTGGCTGGCAATGGTACACACACACACACACACACACACACACACACACACACACACACACACACACACACACACAAAGAGAGGACTGGAATGGAATGAGTTTATCCTGATGAGGAAGAATCAATGGTGGATGTGTAGAGAAAGGAATGTGTGAGGACTGAGTGTCTACGTGTAAGGACTACTGTATCAGTGTGTGTGTGTGTATGATTGATACTGGTGTGTGTGTGTGTATGTGTGATACTAGTGTGTGTGTGTGTGTGTGTGTGCGTGTGTGTGTGTGTGTGTATATGTTTGATACTGGTGTGTGTGTGTGTCGGTCTAAGGCACTGCATCTCAGTGCTTGAGGCGTCACTACAGACCCCCTGGTTCGATTCCAGGTTGTATCACAACCGGCCGTGATTGGGAGTCCCATAGGGCGGCGCACAATTGGCCCAGCGTCGTCCGGGTTTGGCCGGTGTAGGCCGTCATTGTAAATAAGAATTTGTTCTTAACTGACTTGCCTAGTTAAATAAAGGTAAAATAAAAATAAAATAAAAAAAATGTTTGATACTGGTGTGTGTGTGTGTGTGTGTGTGTATGTATGTATGTTTGATACTGGTGTGTGTGTGTGTGTGTGTGTGTGTTTGTTTGATACTAGTGTGTGTGTGTGTATGTTTGATACTGGTATGTGTGTGTGTGTGTATGTATGTATGTTTGATACTGGTGTGTGTGTGTGTGTGTGTGTGTTTGTTTGATACTAGTGTGTGTGTGTGTATGTTTGATACTGGTATGTGTGTGTGTGTGTACTCCCGTGTAGCTCAGTTGGTAGAGCATGGCGCTTGCAACGCCAGGGTTGTGGGTTCGATTCCCACGGGGGACCAGTATGAAAAAAAAAAAAAAAATGTATGCACTCACTAACTGTAAGTGGCTCTGGATAAGAGCGTCTGCTAAATGACGTAAATGTAATGTACTCACACTCCTCCTCTTTAGGATCTAGTTGTGTGACGCTGATAGAGAGGCGGTCCACGCGCTCCTGCAGGGAGTTGACCCGGAAGGAGAAGGAGTGGGCCTCGTTGAACAGCTCCCCAAACAGGTCCTCTGCATACTTACCTGTTACCACACACACACAGTACACACACTTAAGTATAATAGAGTACTAAAGTCAGGCATAATGAAACCTGCTTATCAGCAGATAGGAAAGAGAGATGAAGCATGCTTACCTAACAGAAGTGAGTGTGTGTGGTTTAAGTGTGTGTGTGTGTGTGTGTGTGTGACTCACTGAGGCTGCTGAGCTGTCGGATGACGTTAGCTAGGGACACATTGGTCACACACTCCAGCTCATTCTTGATGGCCCGCGGCAGCACCGTGTGGCACAGGTGCCTGGGCTCGATATTCCTCTTCACCAACGGCATCCTGGGATACCTCGACCACAACTACCACACCTGGAGAAATGGAGGGCGGGAGGGAGAGAGAGAAGGGGGGTTTGAGTTATAACATCCTGGATACCTCCTCTACCACACCTGAAGAGAGAGAGGGAGTGAGTTATAACTGGGCTGGACAATATGCTCCTCTCTCTCTCTCTCTCTCTGCTTGCTCAGCCATGCTAATGTCATTAAGCCTTGTAGCCCCAATTCACCCCCACACACCGCCAGACATACACATACCGCCAGACACACACTGCCAGAGACAATTCACCCCTACACACCGCCAGACACACCAGTGGGCAGCTTAGCCACTTCCCCTGGCTGTCACCTCTCCATGGCTAACAGGATAGCCACTTCCGCTGGCTGTCACCTCTCCATGGTTAACAGGATAGCTACTTCCCCTGGCTGTCACCTCTCCATGGCTAACAGGATAGCCACTTCCCCTGGCTGTCAGCTCTCCATGGCAAACAGGATAGCTACTTCCCCTGGCTATCACCTCTCCATGGATAACAGGATAGCCACTTCCCCTGGCTGTCACCTCTCCATAGCTAACCGGATAGCCACTTCCCCTGGCTGTCACCTCTCCATGGCTAACAGGATAGCCACTTCCCCTGGCTGTCAGCTCTCCATGGCAAACAGGATAGCTACTTCCCCTGGCTGTCACCTCTCCATGGATAACAGGATAGCCACTTCCCCTGGCTGTCACCTCTCCATAGCTAACAGGATAGCCCCTTCCCCTGGCTGTCACCTCTCCATGGCTAACAGGATAGCCCCTTCCCCTGGCTGTCACCTCTCCATGGCTAACAGGATAGCCACTTCTCCTGGCTGTCACCTCTCCATGGATAACAGGATAGCCACTTCCCCTGGCTGTCACCTCTCCATGGCTAACAGGATAGCCCCTTCCCCTGGCTGTCAGCTCTCCATGGCTAACAGGATAGCCACTTCCCCTGGCTGTCACCTCTCCATGGATAACAGGATAGCCACTTCCCCTGGCTGTCATCTCTTCATGGCTAACAGGAGAGCCACTTCCCCTGGCTGTCACCTCTCCATGTATAACAGGATAGCCACTTTTTTATTTTTTATTTTTATTTCACCTTTATTTAACCAGGTAAGCCAGTTGAGAACAAGTTCTCATTTACAACTGCGACCTGGTCAAGATAAAGCAAAGCAGTGCGATAAAAACAACAACACAGAGTTACATATGGGGTAAAACAAAACGAAGTCAAAAATACAACAGAAAAAAATATATATATATACAGTGTGTGCAAATGTAGCAAGTTATGGAGGTAAGGCAATAAATAGGCTATAGTGCAAAATAATTACAATTAGTATTAACACTGGAATGATAGATGTGCAAGAGATGATGTGCAAATAGAGATACTGGGGTACAAATGAGCAAAATAAATAACAATATAGGGATGAGGTAGTTGGGCGGGCTAATTTCAGATGGGCTGTGTACAGGTGCAGTGATCGGTAAGCTGCTCTGACAACTGATGCTTAAAGTTAATGAGGGAGATAAGTGTCTCCAGCTTCAGAGATTTTTGCAATTTGTTCCAGTCATTGGCAGCAGAGAACTGGAAGGAATGGCGGCCAAAGGAGGTGTTGGCTTTGGGGATGACCAGTGAGATATACCTGCTGGAGCGCATACTACGGGTGGGTGTTGCTATGGTGACCAATGAGCTAAGATAAGGCGGGGATTTGCCTAGCAGTGATTTATAGATGGCCTGGAGCCAGTGGGTTTGGCGACGAATATGTAGTGAGGACCAGCCAACAAGAGCGTACAGGTCACAGTGGTGGGTAGTATATGGGGCTTTGGAGACAAAACGGATGGCACTGTGATAGACTACATCCAATTTGCTGAGTAGAGTGTTGGAGGCTATTTTGTAAATGACATCGCCGAAGTCAAGGATCGGTAGGATAGTCAGTTTTACGAGGGCATGTTTGGCAGCATGAGTGAAGGAGGCTTTGTTGCGAAATAGGAAACCGATTCTAGATTTAACTTTGGATTGGAGATTCTTAATGTGAGTCTGGTTGTCACCTCTCCATGGCTAACAGGATAGCCACTTCCACTGGCTGTCACCTCTCCATGGATAACAGGATAGCCACTTCCCCTGGCTGTCACCTCTCCATAGCTAACAGGATAGCCACTTCCCCTGGCTGTCACCTCTCCATAGCTAACAGGATAGCCCCTTCCCCTGGCTGTCACCTCTCCATAGCTAACAGGATAGCCACTTCCCCTGGCTGTCACCTCTCCATGGATAACAGGATAGCTACTTCCCCTGGCTGTCACCATGGATAACAGGATAGCTACTTCCCCTGGCTGTCACCTCTCCATGGATAACAGGATAGCTACTTCCCCTGGCTGTCACCATGGATAACATGCTGCTGCTGCTAACAAACCAACTGAAACATGCAACACTCAAACACGTGCATGCAGAAAGCACGCCCACGAGATAGATAGAACACAACCTGCTACTCTTACAGAGTGCCTCACAGAAGGACTTAGCATATGCTCTATACACTAGGTCCCCGAAAGCAACCAAATCCAAACCTAGAAACAGTCTTTCCCTCTCTCTCTCTCTCTCTCAATTCAATTTTTCAATTTAAGGGCTTTATTGGCATGGGAAACGTATGTTAACATTGCCAAAGCAAGTGAAGTAGATAGTAAACAAAAGTGAAATAAACAATAAATATTAACAGTAAACATTACACTCAGAAGTTCCAAAAGAATAAAGACATTTCAAATGTCATATTATGTATATATACAGTGTTGTAACAATGTGCAAATAGTTAAAGTACAAATGGGAAAATAAATAAACATAAATATGGGTTGTATTTACAATGGTGTTTGTTCTTCACTGGTTGCCCTTTTCTTGTGGCAACAGGTCACAAATCTTGCAGCTGTGATGGCACACTGTGGTTTTTCACCCAGTAGATAAGGGAGTGTATCAAAATTGGGTTTGTTTTCGAATTCTTTGTGGATCGCTGTTATCTGAGGGAAATATGTATCTCTAATATGGTCATACATTTGGCAGGAGGTTAGGAAGTGCAGCTCAGTTTCCACCTCATTTTGTGGGCAGTGTGCACATAGCCTGTCTTCTCTTGAGAGCCAGGTCTGCCTATGGCGACCTTTCTCAATAGCAAGGCTATGCTCACTGAGTCTGTACATAGTGAAAGCTTTCCTTAAGTTTGGGTCAGTCACAGTGGTCAGGTATTCTGCCACTGTGTACTCTCTGTTTAGGGCCAAATAGCATTCTAGTTTGCTCTGTTTTTTTGTTTGTTCTTTCCAATGTGTCAAGTAATTCTCTTTTTGTTTTCTCATGATTTGGTTGGGTCTAATTGTGTTGTTGTTGTTGTTGTTGTCCTGGGGCTCTGTGGGGTCTGTTTGTGTTTGTGAACAGAGCCCCAGGACCAGCTTACTTAGGGGACTCTTCTCCAAGTTAATCTCTCTGTAGGTGATGGCTTTGTTATGGAAGGTTTGGGAATCGCTTCCTTTTAAGTGGTTATAGAATTTAACGGCTCTTTTCTGGATTTTGATAATTAGCGGGTATTGGCCTAATTCTGCTCTGCATGCATTATTTGGTGTTTTACGTTGTACACTGAGGATGTTTTTGCAGAATTCTGCATGCAGAGTCTCAATTTGGTGTTTGTCCCATTTTGTGAATTCTTGGTTGGTGAGCGGACCCCAGACCTCACAACCATAAAGGGCAATGGGTTCTATAACTGATTCAAGTATTTTTAGCCAGATCCTAATTGGTATGTCAAATTTTATGTTCCTTTTGATGGCATAGAAGGCCCTTCTTGCCTTGTCTCTCAGATCGTTCACAGCTGATGTTTAGGCCGAGGTATGTATAGTTTTTTGTGTGCTCTAGGGCAACGGTGTCTAGATGGAATATGTATTTGTGGTCCTGGAAACTGGACCTTTTTTGGAACACCATTATCTTTGTCTTACTGATATTTACTGTCAGGGCCCAGGTCTGACAGAATCTGTGCAGAAGATCTAGGTGCTGCTGTAGGCCCTCCTTGGTTGGTGACAGAAGCACCAGATCATCAGCAAACAGTAGACATTTGACTTCAGATTCTAGTAGGGTGAAGCCGGGTGCTGCAGACTGTTCTCGTGCCCTCGCCAATTCGTTGATATATATGTTGAAGAGGGTGGGGCTTAAACTGCATCCCTGTCTCACCCCACGGCCCTGTGGAAAGAAATGTGTGTGTTTTTTGCCAATTTTTACCGCACACTTGTTGTTTGTGTACATGGATTTTATAATGTCGTATGTTTTTCCCCCAACCCCACTTTCCATCAATTTGTATAGCAGACCCTCATGCCAAATTGAGTCAAAAGGTTTTTTGAAATCAACAAAGCATGAGAAGACTTTGCATTTGTTTTGGTTTGTTTGTTTGTCAATTAGCAGGGTGAATACGTGGTCTGTCGTATGGTAATTTGGTAAAAAGCTCATTTGACATTTGCTCAGTACATTGTTTTCACTGAGGAAATGAACTAGTCTGCTGTTAATGATAATGCAGAGGATTTTCCCAAGGTTGCTGTTGACGCATATCCCACGGTAGTTATTGGGGTCAAATTTGTCTCCACTTTTGTGGATTGGGTTGATCAGTCCTTGGTTCCAAATATTGGGGAAGATGCCAGAGCTAAGGATGATGTTAAAGAGTTTAAGTATAGCTAATTTAAATTTGTGGTCTGTATATTTTATCATTTCATTGAGGATACCATCAACACCACAGGCCTTTTTGGGTTGGAGGGTTTGTATTTTGTCCTGTAGTTCATTCAATGTAATTGAAGAATCCAGTGGGTTCTGGTAGTCTTTAATAGTTGATTCTAAGATTTTCATTTGATTATGTATATTTTTTTGCTGTTTGTTCTCTGTTATAGGGCCAAAAAGATTGGAGAAGTGGTTTACCCATACATCTCCGTTTTGGATAGATAGCTCATCGTGTTGTTGTTTGTTTAGTGTTTTCCAATTTTCCCAGAA